TATCAACACTCATGGAAGCAGCAGTCAAGAGATCAAATGACATATTGCATTAGGCAAATCTGCTTCAGAAGACCTTTTTAAAGTGTTGAAGAGCAAAGATAGCAGCTTGAGGACTAAGGTGCGCCTGACCCAAGCCATGGTATTTTCAGTAACCTCATATGCATGCGAAAGCTGGACAGTGAATAAGTTAGACTGTAGAAGAATTGATGATGCCTTTGAGTTATGGTGTTGGAGAATACTCAAAGTGCCACGGGCTGCCAAAAGAACCAACAGATCCGTTTTGGAAGAAGTGCAGCCAGAGTGCTCCCTGGAGGCCAAGATGGCCAAACTTCATCTCTCATAATTCAGACATGTTGTCAAGAGGGACCAGTCACTGGACAAGGATATCATGTTTGGTAAGGTGGAGGGTCAGAGAAAAAAGGAAGACCCCCCAGTGAGATGGATTAGCCAGGTGGCAGCATCGATGAACTCAAGCGTGGCAACAATAGTGAGGTTGGCCCAGGATCAGGCAGTGTTTCATTCTGCGTGCATAAGGTCACTATGGGTCAGTACCGACTCGATGGCAACTAATAACAACAACAACACACCACCAGCACTCTACTTACTTCTCCAGTGGGTGTCAGACATCCCAGACCCAGCATCTGGAAAACCTGATGGATAGGCAACAGCAGTAATGAGGGCTTAGCAAGGAGTCCAGGCAGGAAACCAGCCCCCAAAATTGGTGCCACGTTTCTATGCTAATGAAGGGTAAAACTAGAAAAATCTCATACAAATGGGTATTATTCCTAAGAGAAAAAAAATAAGCTTATAAAATATCTGGAAATCAAGAACACACATCTTTATGGGGAAAAAAATCAAATTCTAAAAGAGGATATGAATAGGAATACATAGATTCTGTTTCTGGATGGGATGACTCAATGATTTGAAGATGACAGTTCTCCCCATATGAATCTATAAATTTAATGTAATCCCAAGCAATTCCAGCAGATTTCTGAGACACTCAATAAACACTGATGTAGGCAGAATTCTTTAAAAAGCAAACTTGTTGACAGAGGTAAATAGTGATGCATACGCAACCTTGGAACAACAGGGCTCTTGGATACAGGGATCTAGGTATAGCTTGAAGAGGGTAAATAATACTAAAATCCTTGACTACCTTATGAATATTAGTTTCCCTTGCC